ACCTCCGACCATGCAGACGGCCACACCACAGCCACCGTCAACTCAGGCCACCCAAACGTCTCAGGTGGTGCAAGTCAATGGCGGTGGCCAGTCTTTGACTACCGACAACATCGCCAACATGATGCCAGTGACGAAACGCAATCCAAAAGATTACATTTTCGGAAAGGTCATTGGCGAGGGCAGTTACTCGACAGTGAGTTACAACAACCGTTAACTACTATATAATATATTATAATCTATATACGTATACATGGCACGGCGCTGATGATATCACGATTTACCTCCAACTTTATTTATCAGATCCACAATAATTTCGTGTATTGCCTCCATAAAATGTCTGAAATGACATGACACTTGCCTCCACAAAAATCACAGACAGATAATATTATTGCATACTAGTATATTATATTTGCCAACAGCGCACCACCTTGACGACCACAAGTTTTTCGTGTAGGTAATTTGTTTATTATTATACTATCTCCACAAACAACACCTACGAATGCAAAATTCCTTATCGTCATACGGTCTAACCGACCTCCGCTAACATAATTACTCGAACGATCTATTTTTATGCGGTTTTTTTTACATCGTCGTCGACCTTTCCGCCGGTTCGCCAAACCCATTATCATCGACACGCGCCACTCATTTCGCTCGGCCGCGTGTGTGGACCTTACGTGGCCGCACATGCGTTATTCTATCGGGGAAAAAAACATTGTCGCTGTCGTCGTGTTACCGACCCGTGGTGTCCTCAAAAAGACCTTTGACTCGGGTATCGTAATAGTGTTTTACCTATAGGTATAATGTTCGTTGTAACACGCTCGGCGTAAACTCATTGACCTTGGCTACGACTGTTTTTAGACCGGTTCAGTGACCGACGTGTTATCATCATCATCACACACACACACACACATATACATACACACACACACACACACACAAACAACACTAAATACAGCAGTAATAACACTGTATATCGTTCATAACCCGTACGTTAAATGCTATTGTTTTTGTCTTTCCAGGTGTATTTGGCCAAAGACATCCATACGAATCGCGAACATGCAAGTGAGTGTCTATTTGATAAGTTAGTGACTCATATTATGCACTGTACAAATATAGCATTTCGTTTACCATAACTACCACAACTACAGTTATAAATAGGGTTAAATTCAATAAATTCAACTAATGTTTCAATGGGGAAAATATAGCAACTTATTAACTACGTGACATTGCTACCAGTGTTTGATGGAGGAGTAATGGTGGGGTGGTGGAGTGCCACACGTTATGAGTTCTTTCGTTGCGCGTGTTCATTTTTACTACATTTTATCGAAATAAAATTCGCGACCTCAAAATGCCGTTATTGTCGTATGTGCGTATTTTTTATAGTCTAATATAAAATTACAAGGATGTGTCTTCCACGTGTCAACCTTCAGCGATGTCGGTGCACGGAGTTCGTTTTCGAGCACGGGTATTATTACCCTTGAACAACGGACGTTTACGATAAAACGCACGCATATTAGTCGGCCATTAATATTTATATGACTTCTTCGCTTAATTAGTACCGGTGTTAATTTCAGTCGATTTTTTTATCGCTCTCTTCTGTACTCAACGTTATCGTTGTATACAAAATTTAACTTACGATCACTTTTCATCGTAGAAGAGGGGAAACCCCTCTCAAAATTATGTAAATTTGTTGTCGCTAAGTATCCCCATTCCCGCTCCCTTAATGACGACACTTATTTCTTGGTCTCTACTATAATATAGTTCATATATATATATGTCTATACCGGTGATCATATTACTGACGATAAATTATTTTTTCATTTTACAGTTAAAGTCTGCGAAAAACAACAAATCATCAGGGAAAAGAAACGCGAACAAGTACGTCGTGAAAAGGACGCTCTTAATATTCTCAGCAATTCCGGATCCAGTCTTTTCGTCAAGCTGTACTGCACGTTCCAAGACGCCGAACGACTCTGTATCCTTTTCAAACTCATCAATGAATATTAATTTGTACAAAATTCTATATTAGGCTGTATATCTCTTACATCCGGTTGCTCACTTTTGTGGTGTTTTCCTTAATGATTGCTCTTAGATTTTGTTATGTCATACGCAAAAAACGGTGACTTGCTACCGTACATCAACAAAGTGGGCTCATTCGACTCTGCTTGCACGCGATTTTACTCAGGTGAAATCCTTCGCGCCCTGGAGCATCTACACGACTTGAACATTATGCATAGGGACCTGAAGCCGGAAAACATATTACTTGACCACAATATGCACATCAAGGTGGCCGATTTTGGGTGTTCGAAAATACTCGAACAGCCCGACGCTGTGGACAAATCTATTTTGAACGATAACAATCCCCGGCAGCGAAGTAACAGTTTCGTCGGAACTGCCCAATACGTCAGTCCCGAATTGTTGACTGAGAAAACGATTTCGCCTAGTTCTGATCTATGGGCCCTCGGCTGCATTATCTATCAAATGATTGCTGGTTTACCCCCCTTTCGATCGAGGTACGTACCCTAATAATGTAATATTTGATACACATCTCATTGTTTGGTAGTGCGACGTGTGAATATATATTTTTGTGTATTATAACAAATGTACCTGGCTATAAATAATATTTACTAATAAAATTCTCTTTGTGCAGGAGTGAATATATGTTGTTCAAGAAAATACTGAACCTCGACTATGTGTATCCAGATGGGTTCAACGCCGATGCCAAAGATCTGGTACAGAAACTGTTGGTGCTTGATCCAAACGAACGCCTAGGCACCAAGGATGACCTACGGTACACTTCCATCCGCTCTCATCCGTTTTACAATGGCTTGGATTTTGACACCTTGCATATAACAAATCCACCACCTATATACCCTTACCTACCTGGAAATAGCGAAGGCCAAGAGCTTCGTAGCCAATATCGAGTTCCTGATCATTTGGAACCAGGCCTGGACGACAAACAATTGACCAGGTTACTGGGTCTGGATGGCCAAAGCAGTTCCACAACCACCCCAGCATCTGTACCTAGACCGCGCAAACGGTCTGGCATTCTTCATATGAATGACGAAGAGAAGCAACACCAACTGAACCAGCAGAGGTGTAACAGTAAATGGCATGGTTTAGTAGAGGGAAATCTGATTGTCAAACAAGGATTGGTTGACAAGCGAAAAGTGAGTTTTGTTGTTCGATATGCTATGAGTGCATTCTATCGTTTTTATGGTATTAATTTGTTTTTTCCATTTTTAGGGTCTTTTTGCCAGAAGGCGTATGTTGATGTTAACAATGGGTCCACATTTGTATTATGCCGATCCAGCATCTATGACCCTAAAAGGAGAAATACCTTGGAGTCCACAATTGCGCGTGGAACCTAAAAATTTCAGGATATTTTTCGTTCACACGGTAACTACAATTTATATCTCATTTTTATATTATATTATAATATATTATCAAATTTAATATATTTTACCTAATTAGTTATTTTAACTTTTTTGGCATAGTATTTTAATTATTTTAATTTTCCTTTTGCAGCCCAACAGGACTTATTACTTAGAAGATCCTGAAGGATTTGCGTTGGAATGGTGTAAAGCAATTGAAGAAATGAGAGTTAACACATATGGTGTATCTCCTACGACGTGCACTTAACAAAACTGTTATTGATATGACTGTATTTTTAGTATAATTTTGACATAAACTATAATTCTTTAAATTAAAAAATGTTCTTTTGATTACAATAATTATTTAATTTTTAGTTTATAATAAATTGCAGTATTTTGTTTTAATGAAAATGATCTGCAAACATGTCTGTGATATTAAATTTTAATTTTAAATAAATTGTAACTTAGCGTGAAACAATGAAATTCTATGTATAGTATTTATAATGATTAAGATTAAGTAATTTATTAAATAATTATATTACATAAAAAACGGCTGGTGACACTGCCCCTTGCCCTTGGAACAGGCTGTGCTTGATCGATAAATACCTTTATAGTAATAATTTATTTTAAATATATTTTTCTTTCTCAAGATCGATTGGTTGTGCCTTTTTAATTTATTTGTTTATTTCAATTTGCAGTTCAATTATTATTAGAGGTTTCTCTTTTACATTAATTACAATTACTAATGTTAAACATTGATTTTAAGTTCTTTATAACAGTGTTATTTAATGATTTAGTTAAATTGTTGAGATTTATCTAGTGCATTTTAATAACAAACCAAGTTACACAAATAACTCAGCGCCATTTGTATTACTATATCTGAGAAAGAAAAAGTACTAACATTTTATAATTTATTTTATTATTTTGTATGATATTTGTTCTAGTTTTATTTTGTATAATTAACTCATACTCGTCCTCTATGGTATAATGTTTGTAGAAACTTATCTCGTTATATTTTTTGTGAACACTCACTATTCTAATAATTGCTCTTTATTTGCATGCATGCAGTATTTACTGTGATATATTTATTGTACGTATTCAAATTGAAAAGTAATAATACTTGAAATTAGATGAAGATTAATTTTAGTTAATTTTTAAAATAATTGATTTAAACTAATCGAATTAGTTCCTAAAATAAATTGTTGATTAAAATACACCTACATAGAACCCAAATATTGTTCTTTTTATTAAATAATATGCTCTTATTATATACAGCAGGACACTTTTATCTAATGTTAAATAAATATATTAACTGGCAATGTCCAATAATCCCTTCATAAATAGTAAAATTATGTATCATAATTATAATTTCTTTAATACATTTTTTTTTCTGTAAGCTAAATCATAGTTATATATGTATTATGTTGTATACAACACTAAATTGTTTTATGTAAAAGTGTGTGTGTGTTAGTGTGCATAAGTGTGCGTGTATATGTGTATAACTATGCGTTTAAAGACGATTAAAAAATTAAAAAATGAATAACAAGTTACATTAGTACAACCGGTGTGTTCATTATGCAATAACCTAATTTTACCGATACTTGATACTACCGATACGTTCTAATATTGTAATTAGTTTTTTTTTTATAGTAGCTAATATTGAAATTTGGTTTTGTCTTATTACTACATGCTGTGTAAAACGGTGTTGTTCTTTAGTCTGTAAGGCCCTGGAGAAGCGTTTTCGTCGCGCGCCTCGGCGAAATGTTGTTTGAAGTTACCCATCTTTTGAATGAATTAAGTTTAAATTAATAACGTAATTAGTATAATATTGTAAAAGTTAATATAATCGACTAGGAAAAATGAATAAATAAATTATATGAAATATGAAAATATTAATGATGTGTTTGTTTTGTTTTGATTTTCCTTACTCCTCTTTCAGCTGTCCTTTTACAAGTAGATCTAACCCGATGAATGTAATGGATAAAAACAGAAAACACGATTCCCTGACCATGGTGAGAAAGACATTCCAGAAAAACGAGGTATGAGTTGCGCAGTTCTCGAAGAGAAGCAGCTGTTGTTATCGAATAGGTAATGTGGAAATGGTACCGACGGGATCACGACGTCTTTTCGGCACGCTCCGACCCTCTCTCGACACATTGTTATTTCTACGCACTCTTATTGCAGAAACAACACAGTTTATTACATAATATGATATCAATCGTCGGCGAATATCACGTCGGGGTCTGACATATACAATTTGTTGCCGTCGTCATCGCGGCATCCGATTGTTTGGTGTACTTTTCCAGTATCGCTGCCAACACGATTTTCACGCCGTACGCGCCTGCGTCGGCATTACAACTTGAGGTCCGTAGGCCACAGCCGCCATCGTCGTTCTCCCCTTGAGGAATCATGTGCTCGGTCAGTTTGCATCCGTCGTCCGCTTCTTTAACAGCTCTGTTGAGTAGATAGACCTGCAGTGTGTTTTTTTTAAAGGAAATCTGTGTTAATCATAATTCATAGCGAAATTGGTCAAGAGACTTGTAAGCATGTGTCAACATTTCTATCTGGGTAAAAATGTCCGAGTTGGCGCATAACGTTTGACGGCGAACATAAAAATGATAAGATGATTTATTAGTTAAAATAAATAAAATTTGTTTGAAAAAAACGTATTGAAGAAATCAATCATAGCTAACTTCGTGATTAATTAATTTTGCTTAGCTTCAGTTTTTATGATTAAAAATTGTAATATTAAAAATTATTATAATATTAACCTTGACACGTATTACCTATACCTGTAGATACTTGTCAAATTCAATGATGGTATATTTTTAGAAATTTATGAATTTTAAATTAGATATAAATACAGTGGCCACCGCTTGTTATAATCATGGTTAATGTTATCAATCGTATAGGTATTGTTATCGAAAAGTGTAAGTACGAACTGCGTATATTACGTGCGTACTTTAATTTTCGTTCGTTGTATGATTAGCCGCTTTATGTTATCCATTTTGTCCAGTAAACCAATATGATAACTCTAATCGGCGACCACTGTATATATCTAATCCTAGTTAAGAAGTCATCCTTAATCATCGGCTTATCATTTAATAACCCAACACTGCCGATATCAAACTTAAGAATCTGACATTTTGTCAATATCATGTTACGTATGTAACGACCAAAATTATTTGGACGTTTTCAAAAACCGTTTGCGCAAATATAAAAACTCGTCGAACATTCCCCCCGAGACGATTCCACCTACACTACCGGTCGGCGGGGTAGACCCAATCCAACGAGACGATAACGCCCGCACTGTCGCATAACTGCAGACGCCATCGGACGTGTCATTGGGCTCGCCACTCGGGTCTCCGTAGCGAGGTACACGTTTGGCGATATGCTGTTGGAATTTTCCCGACATCACCAACGCAATAATATTGTAATAAATAACAGTGAAAATAATAGCGCAGCTCGCATGCGTATCGTGCAACAGGTTAGTAGATACATGCACAGTGCACGGACTGTATGATATGATATTATTTTCTATCTACTAGTATTATGCCGCGTTGTTGGTGTTCGTAGTGTCGATATTACTATATAGTAAACTGTTGTAGTCGATCTCGTTTAATAATTAAACATAAAATAAGTATTACAAATTAACTAATGAATTATTTGATCTTATTAATTATTATATAGGTAGGTATACATTAATTTAAATAAACAAATATAAATTTAACATTAACACCTGTTGTGCAGTGTGCACGCCTATTAACATTGATATAGGTACTTAATACAATCATACTGAGTATTATAATAATAAATAATAATGCCGAAAAGAAATGAATTTATATTACATTTAACGATTTTACTTTTCAATAGTTTACACTTAAAAGATTATAGCCTGGAATTTCTAACACAATATTTTTTGTAAATTTTTGTGATTTTTTACGTATTTTGTCAAAATTCGAAATTTGGACGCCCATAGGCCATATTAAAATATTGTAGATTCTCCCTCAACTTTTTTTTAAATTCCACTTACAGCAACTTACGAGGAACTTTGTATTACATTTTCAAGTTTTTCGAATGAGCAAAAGTGTTTGGTATATAGACGTTAATTTTAAAAAACTAATAACTATCGACAATTTCATATGCCTATTACTCAACATGAGTCAAAATATTTTGAAAATGTTATGGTGTATGAAAAGTGCTAATTTATACATTTAGTGAAAGATTCATGTACCTATCTACAGTCATATGGTCTAGAGTTACACCAAAAATCAAAATTGTTAAAAACCGATTTTGGGTAAAAATTCACGTTTTTTTCTTAATTTTGTTGTTCTTCCTTGCTTTTTTGAAAACTTTTGGGGATTTTCAACTTAGACCTCTCGAATGCACCAATTAGATTCACTTTCACACAGGAAAAGATACTAAAGTTAAAAATCGAAGCATTATTTCAACTATACTTATCATGTACACAGACACAAATAAAAAAAACACAGATCGTTGTAAAATCAATACATTCATAGCTCCACTCAGAATCTAAAAATGTACAGTATGCTACACCAATGTCTACTAATTATAATCGCAACATAAAAAAAGAATATTATTTTCTCGAGGGCCGAAAAAATTCATATTTGATCTGTCCTTTAGCTTTTTTTAGGAATTGAAAAAATAAGGTATCAACACTCTACATTCTCCAAGTTTCAAGGAATCTATTGACAAACAGATAATATTTATAATATTTTATCGAGAACGGTTCAGTAGTTTGAGTGCCTATTAACTTCGTATGAATCAATATTCATATTTAGCTGTATAACCCGAATTGGACAGTGAAAAAATACAAAGCATAAAATATATCGCTATATCTAGAGCCATACAGGTGCATCTATGTACATTGTATATATATAGTTTTAGTGTGCTCAGTTCACGGAAAAGTCAGTGCCGATGTACCTCGTTTTGCGAATTAATGCGACTGAGATGGACAATTCACCTGTGGTGGATTTGAGGTAGCACTATTGGTATAAATCGAACGTGGTTTAAGGTACCCTTTAAATTTTCATGATATCTCCAAGTACAATTTGAAATTTGATTATTTATTCAAGTACCAATAACGCTATGCTGACACACCGCTTCCACTCAAAATAGTTTTTCTTAAACAATGATTAATTATCATTGAGTTCAACTTTAACACATCCATTATAATGGTATACTCGACAACTTCTGTGCAGCAAATCGTTATCCACTTGTCAACCTTTTATAATACATAGATTTTATTATTATATTACTCATATTAGTCAATAGTCATACATATTTTATTTTATTAATTTTTAATTTGACCATTAGGTAGTATGCTGTACCATTTACAATTTTTATTATTTGTTCTCAGTAAATTGTATCGTGTATGTACTGTGTAATAATGGTTATCATTGAAAAAAAAATTGTTATTACAATTATTGCATTTTTAACCCTCTTTGAAAAATTCTAATTACTAAAAGCGTTATCGGAGATCTTGGATTTATAAGTATTTGTCCCGTGAGTCATATAAGTATTATTGTATTTGTTTTTTGTAAATATTTTTCAAATATTAATTATTTTTTGATCACTGACTAGAGTGATGGTTTTTATTTTCTATAGTACAATTTGTAGATATGAAAATTAAGTCAGAGATATTTTCTAAAGTTAGTAATTGTTTCATGTGATGTGTCACTTTATGTACTAACTGTGTATCGCGTAATGACGTACCTATCTAATCTCAATAATATAATAGTGAAATGAAAATGACGTCGACTACTCGACTATTAGTTAATTTAACAATTATATTGTTAAACTGGTAATAAAATGATACATTGCAGGATGTCGACGTTAAGACATATTTTTCAGAGTTAATTACAGGAAAATATTAAAAAATGTTAGAAACCAATACTCAAATGATAATATGTATGGTATTTTGGTTACACTGTAGATACTTATCGCATCGCTTGCTCGATCGGTACGAATGACAAAAATCACATTCTTTACGTTATTTATCGTGAAATACCTTTATGTACAGTATACACGATGACCAGTCGTGTAAAGAATACTTTTATTTTGTATTCAGAATACGTATTCGAATTAACTGTTAAAAAGATATTTTTTTTATTTTTTTTATTAGCTTTTAGTAAAAAACTATAAAAGCTCAACAGTTAATACAGATAATACAGATACAATTATACAGATAATAGAGACTTAATATAAATAAAAACAATAAAAGATTTATAACATAAAAAGGTATTTAGAAGACGTATTCGAATAATTTTCAAAAAATATACATTTTTAGAATACATTCTGGAATACTCAAAAAATTATTCGAATACTTTGAGAATACTATTTATTAATACTTATTTTGCTCAAAATACAATTTTTTAAAACACTTTTTTTTACCCTTTTAAGTCATACTCGTAGATAGTAGACACATTAATTTATTATAAGTACAACTCTTCTTTATTATATTTTACACAATAATTATACACTAATAAATTATCAAGAAAAAAAATTTACATTTTGTTACATTTAATCATCATTACTTTTTCAAAATTTGCATCAGTCATTTTTCCACGTTTCTTGGTCAGAACTGTACTCCCCACACTAAATATACATTCTATTGGAGCCCTACTTGGTAAAGGCGTATTGTATTTTTAAAAAACTTTTTTTATAATAGGAGTATCATACAATGAAGTTAAATTCTTTGTTGGGCTCTTTGAAAAATAATTCAATATTTCATTTTCTGCAGAATTATTGATATTTGTTTTGTTGGACCAATTAGAAAAAAAAATATTTAATACATCATCAGATTGATTTTTATTACTATTAATTTCTTGTGTACTGTCATCTTCCACATTAGAAGACTGGAAAAATTCATTAACTGCTTTTTTAAACTGATTAATAGCTTTTTCTCTTTTAACATAATTTTTGATCCCATTGGTTTTAAAAAAAGGGTGAAATATTGCAGCAATTACAAAAAATGAGTCAGTTAGTTGAGTTTCAAATCTTTTTTCAACATTGAAACAAATTATATCAGTTACCTAATGATCTACAAAACTTGAAATTTTCATTTATTTTCATATTCTCATACTGTGAAATAAGTTGAGAAATGGATGTGATTAAATAACCAAAATACATGAACTTTTCTCCTTGCAAAATATATCTAAGCACACAGCTAATGGTTTCACCACTACTCAACTAGTAAAAGGTCTATGGGCTATGGCTGATACTATATTTTATGATTTTAATGACCACTACTCAGGATAGATATAATCTATAAACACAAATATTCTTTTTTTTTCAAATTTAGTATTTAAATATAAAATAAAAATACTAAAAAAAGATATTCAGAATACGTATTAGAATATATCTTTTTTAATGTATTTAGAATAGTATTCAAATACAAAAAAAAGTATTCGAATACTTTACAAGACTGAAAATGACCTTATTACGAAAATTATGACATTTCTATTTTAACAGTGTAAACAGCTGATTTGAATTCACATCATCTCCGAATCCTCATTCCCGAGTTTAATATTTTTAATTTTTACATTTGAAATATTATTATTCTCTTATTGTAATCCGTTGACAGTTGCTACGAAAAGTACCTATAGCTACCTACAGTCTATAACAGTTATCACTTATTATGATATCCGTTTTATGGATACTTAAAAGTCAAATGTGCTTACCGGGTTTTTAGACTTGCGCAAGACGTCCTCCATACCACGGACGGCCGGAACGAGTGCATCCAACATAGTCCTGTCGCCGGGTTGAAGCATGCCGTATGCCTCGACAGCGGCCACACCACGGCGTAGACCGTCTACCCACATGGCCGGTCCGAGGGTCGCACGACAGGAATGTTTGGTAAATGCCAGTGAAAATGACCGGAACAAGACGGACAATAGCGTGCCCAAAGTGCCGGCCACGCGGGTCTCAAGCAGCCGGCTGATCGAGCGCAGTGTGTCTGCGGGGCTGGCCACGTTCACGTGGCCCGCAGTCACGGCCGCTTTCACCGCATCGGCACCGCGGCTCCAGTTGCTTCCGCAGTCACCGTCGTCTGTTTTGTCCATTGCGTTCATCCGGCCTTCCTCCTCGCTAATCCGATTGCACACGTGAACTATACACAGCACAATAATAATATTATTATTCATCAAACCTTAAAAAATCTTAGGTCGTGACCTATATAACCGGAAATGATGTGTGCAAGGAAAATATAGTATTTTATTACATAGGATCAGTTGAATTTTAATTTTTAATGGCTCAAACATAATTTTTTTTTCAAATTAATGTGATACTAACTTTTTATAACTTTTAAACAGTAACTCGTATTTTACTTTTAACTCAAAGATTTTGATTGAACTACCTATATTGAGATGTTAAAATTGAAACTCATTTTTCTTGAAATTCAACAGATTTCACTTCGAGGGTTCGGGGACCCATGCCTATTTTTAAAATATTATTATATTATAGTATAATATTGCATACTCAAAATGTCCGTTACGAACGGCACTTGGTCTTCGGGTATAGTCGCGCTAGGAGGAGCATCGTCGTCTTCGTCATCTTCGTCAAGGTCGTAGTTGTCGTCGGCTCGACCGCGGCCATTTCCACCCGTTAGGAGATCGCAGGGGCAGCGGCGGTGGCGCCGGACATATTCGGGAGTGGGATGCTGGGCCAGGTCGAGACGTCCGTCTAGGCCAGCAAACGTCCAACCGGAAGCGGATACAGGAAGGTCCAGACAAGCTATCAGTGAGTAGCAAAGGCCGTCGTACACACGGCCATCGGCGGTGGCCGAACCTCTGGCCGCGGCGCCAATGTCCATCACGGTCACGGAGAACCCATCGCCTGTGTCGCTTGACGACGTCAACATCCGGCCGGTGTACCACCGGTGTACTGCGCGGGCGCCAGTGGCCGCACCGAGAAGACTGGTCACCTCGGCCACGATACCCATGAATTGCGCGTCTGACATGCCACCCATGTTGTTGATCATGGCCACGATGTCGGTATCCCTCCAACGGCGCATGATGTGCTGGTCATCGTCTGTTAGTAAGTTCAACGTGGCAGACACCATCGCCTTGAGATCCGTCGTCCGCACGGTCCGAGTCTCGTGCCTGCCGTTCGCGTCTGTGCCCAGCAACAACACCTTTTCTTCACATCTGCGAAAATCGTCAGACTTGTGAATTTCGACTTACCATTTGTTTGTGTGGATCTATTTAATACTTCACGTCGGAAGTAAATTTGCAAACCTGTGCTCAGGTTATCTATTTTTTCAGGTATCATTTATATAAATTATATCTATGGATATCTATGATTATATCTTAGCGTTGTCACGGAGGTAGGTCATTTTAAATAGTATGTTTATAATTTATAAACACCAAGAATGATATGTTGTGGTCTATGGACAGTTTTGTTTTACCATACTCTTGTAAGAATAAAATATAATTGGCTTAGTATAATTTATTATGCTTTACTGTAGGTTAGTTATTAATTTATTATGAACAAAACAACAATAAAAAAAAAACCATTAAATAATCAGTAGATAGTATAAAACTGTAACAAAGAAAAGTATTAACGCATAATATAATTATAATCAAGCATGCACTATATAAATGAACGAATTAATACTTCAACTATTAGGGTGTTAAAGAAAAATGTAATAGTCTTTATGGTAATACCTCATTAATTACAATTATAGATGCAGTGATTATTGCATTAATATTGTGTTACTACCACCTAATATTTGACTTATATTTTATCAATATAGGATTATGAAAAGATATACCGTGATATTGGTATATTATACCGCAATACCGATACATATCGGAAAACCTTAATAAATTGTTACCATAATGCCGGAAAACCGTGATTCTGGAAAACTGAAAAATACTAAAATAATATGCTGAGGGAGTAAATCATTTTTATAACATATTTTAATTGATGTTATATTACACCGAAAAAAATCGTTACCACACTAATATACGGTATTGCGGTTTTCCGATGTGTGTCGGTATTGCGGTATGTTCTGGTTTACTGTATACCGTTTCGGTATTTGGGCAAAAACAGGCATACCGAAAAAACGTTCAACCCTAGTATTATAGTGTAACTTAACTAATTTTACATTCACCTGCATTTGATATATTTTATATCTGCAGACAATAGATACAATCATATTATTACAAACTAATTTGTTTAAAATGTTTAGCGGATTATTGTTATGTATCCACGGTAAGTCAGTGAAAAAAATTGTTGAGCACATTAATAATCATAAAGTAGGCAGTAAACACGTAGAACTGTAGAAGTATTTTATTATAAGTTATTTGGTGAATCAAGTATCTAAGTGTTGTACATTTGTCAGTTTTCTGTGTATCTACAGACGATTAAATCTGGTCCTCATGCAATGGCTGTATAGTTAAACACAATTCTAATTTTTATTTTCTCTCTAGGTGGTTGTTGTGACTTTACTTTTTTAATGATCTTAGTGTACGCAAATTATGAGTGTGCTAGTGGCCTAGTGCTCATACTTGAGCGCCATGTTGAAATGTGTGGAATAAACATGAGGTGTATGATTATGCTATCCTATACCTTAATGTATTTTTGAATACCTATAAAATAATGGTGGTTAAAGCTGAAATCGTTGTTTTGCTTCAACAGCATATCAGCTGTGTGAATAGTGCTAAGATCGATATATTTAGTTCCAGATTTCCAATTTCAACTCGTCAGTCTATAAATCGTTTTTTTTCAAAATTGTACATTCCGGTTAATTTAATTACTTAATTTTTTTATTTCAACATTTTATTCTTGTCTAGATAAATTATTCTCAAACATTTAAAAATATTATTCTAACGTTAATTGAATATTTTATAGAATGTTTTTAAAATGTGATTCGGACATCAGCAGATGAACTAGTGTTATGTTAGTGAGGAATAAATGCGTAGTGCTTGTTCTGAAAAGTCAACTTTGCCAGTCCTATACTTACCTACCTAGGTAATAGATGTTATATTATTATTTTTATTGTAACTGTTGTCTTGATCACTACGAAGCAAGCAGTTTTACCACAATTCGCAATGTCTATTCTTCCTTTTTCTCAAAAGTAGGATTATAAGCTGTATCCCAATCATTATTATTGATATTATTTCATATCCATTATCCATACTTTCTTTGGAGTTTGAATACCTTGAAATTAACTCGTGATTATTATCGCAGCAGAGAACTGTCAGACTTTGGATTTTTTCGCCTTGAATAAGACCTTTTATCTGATCCCCTTAGATTCACTGACTCCGATTTTCAGAAGACAATACCTGATACAACGACTATTGAGTTCTTTCGCATATCCCAGTCGATAATGGATCATCCCATCTAATGTCAGAGAAATCAATAGTCGTTGTATCGGATATTTTCTCCTGAAAGTAATCAGAGTAAATCTAAGGGATCAGATGAAAAGTCTTATTTGAGGCTAAGAATTTTAAAGTCTGAAAGTTCTCTTCAGCGATCATAATTAAGAGTTAATTTCAAGGTAGAAATGCATCAATTGTTCACCGAAAATAGTTCACGTGACAGTTTCTCGCGCATCTAATGTGTGCTGGCAAATTGTTCGAATACGAAAACTGTTCTTCCATATTAATACATTATTAATTCAAAATAGGTTTACATGGCTAACAATTAATTCAAAAGTCAATAAATTAGTTTTTTTATAAATAGTTAGTAGTTACATATATATAAATAATTGATAAATATACCTAGTAATACATAAAAAATAAAATACAAAGTAGTTAAGTATTTTTCCACGTTTGAAGGTAGGTACATAGTTTTTATATTTGCAATTGAAAATTGTACGATATAAACATTATAAACGGCAAATACCACGAAGAAAATTAACTGTTGCACGGTTATTATATAATCTGGACAAATTTTTTTTGAAATTTTCACTTTTATTTTGATAAATTATTTGGGATGGTGGTTCTTGATCCACAACATACTGCTGAATTTTTAAAGTATTAATACTTTTTCCTTTTTGGATTATATGAACAAATCTCCAAATTGGTGGATGTTTGGATGAATTAAGTGTAATGACAGGTGTGTGTTAGTATTAGTATTGTTATTAGTACTATTCCAGAACATTAGCGATGGGATTTGTGTGCCCATTAGATAATCCATATAATGTTCGATAACGATAAGATATCGATATGATTTTAAAACGTGTTTGCAATTAGCCACATTTTATACTGTTGTGTTGTGTGTGTTAAAGATACCTAATGTAGGTTACAGATTACAAAATATAATACTTGATTATCAGTGTTATTTTTTTTTTACGAACAATTGTCGTATTCGAGTAAGTTTCCTACGAATAATTGTCACGCGAACTATCTTCAGCGAAAAATAGACGTGATACCATCGACTGATAATGGTGTTTTGTGGTCACTGTACTAATCCAAGTTATAGTCTATCGATCGATAATTAATTGAAAAGATATTTACTCATCGTCACCTAACCCATGTTAATGTTGTATCCCTGCATTTTATGATAGGTCAAAAAAAGGTATGGTGCAGCCAGGTTAGGTGTCAAAACGCAATGTTGTTCCATAATCACATACGGGGAAATCAGAGGTTCCTCAAACTCATTCAGGTGGACAAAACCACCTATACTCGGGATAGGATGAATATTGGTGAAGTGCATTCTTGGACGAATTTCACAACTGCGTTAGTACGAATTCGCTCATTACCTCATCGTTAGACCACTTTTTTACCCATTGAACAAGTCAAATCCACGATCTGATGCCACACGATATGATCATTAACCTGGTGTCACGTTCCTACACAAGATTACCCGGTCGATTGGTGGCTTATTCCCACGGATCTTGTTAACTATTTTCTACAGCCACATCTACATCGTTTTTAAAAGTCCCTTTCAAAAAATGGCTGTTAATATCCATAGACCAACTGCATGATCTCGAAGAATCTACTCACTATAAAATACCTACTATACTCGGTGTTACTATTGAAGTTCTCAATAATGAATCATACATTTGCTTGACCAATTCTCGCCCTTAGACAAAATACTTCAGATTGTTTCTTATTATTTGAGACTAGTTCTATCATGTCTGTCAGTTGGAACAACACCAATCATTGATACGGGCAAGGTATCATATGCACTTCGTACGTTAATTTATTGTGTCTAAAAGAGTATTTTATCGCATAGGAGCACTTTGTTTTAACCTGCCTTAGATTTAATTTATTTTAAGTACGTTCTTTTGTTTATAATGTACTTGTGGCCATTTGTACCAGACCAAACTGGTCACATGGCCCTTCGTCCTCACGATTACACTGTATTTTTTTTTCAAACCCATGTGACGTAATTTCTTATTCTCAGCGGAGTTGTCATGCATTTCGTCGCACATCCTGGTATGTAGGTTGAATCGCCTACCCACCAGTTGATCAGGCGCAACATTTGGTGCAAATCGGTCGTAACTCGTAAAGATGAATGAGACCATCAAATTTATTCTTGGACATAAGGTATTCGTTCGAATTTTCCCTATTTCAAATGCATACACGTCGTACTATTTAATTTTTAACTTTTTTTCGTACCTTCTATTTAGTAGTGATTTCCATTAATCCATACATGCGAGATTAATGTTTCAGCTAGTCGTGTAGAAATGTATATAATACATATATGCCAAATACCACTCACACACTCACTCACTGATAACTACATCCAAAAAACTACAAAACGTTCGAACTTGAAATTTGGATTAGTGGTTCCTCTAATGATTTAGATGTTCAATAAGAAAGGATTTTCCGATATAATTATTTTAAAAATGTGCTTAAACAATGATTTTGAAATGTACGATGGACATTTTTTTTGTTTATAATTATTTGCTATTAGTCATAGGTTATAATTGTAAATTGTACAAATAGTAGAAGAAATAAATATTTTTTTATATACATAAATGGTTGCCATTTGTTTCTTATTATATTGCTATTATAACTCGAAGAAACATGGTATATACAATTTTTACAAATATATTTATAAAAGATATAAATCTTCGGCACGGGCAGCGCCCTGGTGGACAACTCGAATATGTATTTATTTTATTGACATATTTATGAAATTTTTGATTTAAAAATAACCGTTTGATAGAAAATTGTTTTTGCAATGTACTTACTTTAGGTATTTTATTTTAAATTATTTATTATATTATTATTTTTTATCTAAGATTTTCAGTAGACACTATGTTGAATAACTAATACTCAGGTCTAGAGTTTAGACGTATGGAAAAAATAATCCTCACAGATTACAAACTTATTAGGTACCTATATAGGCGTTAGGCAGTATAATGCCGCGGGGCTTACTTCACATTGCGTGTCGTGTTCCGCATATAATTATTATGTATATGTTACTAAATACTGGTAACTCTATATCATATACAACCGTACATGAGACATGACACGATTTAAAGAAAGCTTACCTTCATGATTCGTGTCAAGGGACTTAAATTATCACTTTGGTTGTGGTATAATTGTATGCGTGTACCTATATAATATTATATACGTACTCAGTGCTAGTATCTTCGCTGTACTTCCGCTTTCTTAAACCAATCACTGCGTTTACAGTGGCCACACGGTCCATAGACAGGCGCTGACATACGGCAAAAATTTTAGCCAGGCTGTGGCCGCCGGCAGCCAGAGCTCCAGCAATTTTGCATATCAGTACTATGCCAGCAGAACCCCGTCGCCGAACACCAGTCGTCGACCGACTTCGGATAACATCATCACCGACCACCACTAGCTTGTTAATTAAAAAAAAGGATTCATTTTATTTGATTTTGAAACAAATAGTCCATTATTTGTAAAAAAACAGTTTGACGTAAAGCATATATAATATATTATTATTTTATTTATTTTTTAAGAAGATAATGGGACCCACTGAATACATGTTTTTGTTGTGATGACTAAACGTAGAACAATTAATAATTAAAATAAATTCAGAAATATCGATGTGTTATTGAACATCTATGACCTTCTTATTGCTTGGAATATAGATGTACCTCTTACAGTGGTGTATACGCACGATTCTAACGGATATAGAGTTATATTTAAAAAGAAATGTGTGTGTATATATTCTCTACAAAAACATTTTCAGTTTTAAATATTGTGAAAAATGAGTGTCGAGGGAGGTAGGTATGTAAAGTAAGTACTTAGTACATAGTTCAAGACTGGATTAAGTCCTACACGGATAAAAGAAAAAAGAATATTGTCTTGATTACAGATTTTAACATATAAATACTTAGTGTTCGGCATTCATAAAATCATAACTTAAAAATATTATTTACTGGTAATAAGCAATATTACCCCGAATTTACAGTAAAATAAATTAAATAGCAGCTTGTATTTACTACTTAGGATTATTCTATACACAAGAAATAACATTTTATTTAAAAATCAATAATAATAATAGCCTGAAATAAACGCAGTTAAATAATAATTATTTACAAAATATTTGATTATTCTTAGATTTTATAGATTTTAGAAGGTGTATAATAAAATGTACACGATCATAAAATCGTAAAAATATTGTATTAAAATGCTACTTGATATACCTATAATCGGGGACAGGGTGGACCCCGAAGACGTATCCCCCTCAATTCGGATTGAATTGTAATATTGTTTACTTTGACAACAATGCCCTGAGATCGGGCCTTTTGGGCTGCGATGCCGTAGTTGAGGATGGCCGCCGTCTCGCTGGCCACCAGAACCAGTACCCCGCAGCGGTCGTCCAGCTCCCGGATGGCCGTCAGTACGTGGCTGGCGCTCGGATGTCGACCGAAGTCCGGTCCAGCAACAGCTGCGTCCAACATGCCAGCGCCCACGTAACGTGCGAACGCGGGGTAATGGCCACCACGGTGACCGGCCATCACCTTAACGCGGCCGCTTCCGGTAGTCATAGACTGATGTCCACGCCAGTAAACCGTGTTGCCGTCCAACAGGACCAGCTGTCGACCGTGACCATCCGTCCGGACCAGTCCTTCGAGGCAAGCCGTAGTCGGGAAACTACGGTCACGGCCCTCGGCCGAGTCCTGACTCAGGAAACCGTGATCTTCGGTCGAGTCTTGACCTATAGCAGAATTGTGGGTTATGATTGAGCTTTGACCAGAAGTGCGATCCTTGGTCAAACCGAGACCAACGGAACCGGGGTCCTCAGTCGAGACATAACCGGAACCGTGGGCCGAGATTTGATGTTCAGAACCAGGATCCTTGATTGAGCTTTGTTCATCAGTTGGAAATTCATTGTTTGATGCCGACATGTCTTCGACGGTTCTGCGTATCATCGGTTTTGTAAATACGCATGACGTATAAGATGATAATATTGTAAATTATAATATATAACATAATTATTGTACAACAGATTTTATTTTGCACCTCATGTAATACCTCGACACTTCTCGGCTCCTCAAATAGAATCATATATTATCTGAGTATATTTGACTCATCTGAGGTCACAAAAATAATGTCCACTATTGGGGGGAGAGAAGTGGGAAACGCAGGACAAAATGTATTGGAGCAGGGGAGAAGGGAAGTGGGTTTGAAAAAATGTAAAATGTTCATAAATCATTATAGGTCAAGCGATTTATTTTTATTATCCCCCCCCCCCATACAGTCACTTATGGGTACGGTTATCACGGTTTTAAGTGAAGTTATTGGAAAACTACATTGTTGGTAATAATGTATGAAATTGTTATCTCTAGGGAATATAATTGGATGCTAAATCATCAGTTTATTATATCATTCCCGATGAGCAAGATATGTATATTATTAACCAGTAATCACATAAAGTCATGGATTTTACATTTTATATCCATAAATAATATTTATAATATGACGTTAGGTATTATTATTTTTTTATTGTGCGCATTTTAACCTATATGACGTATATTGTATGAATGGAAATATTATAAAACCTTCTGGAAGTTTGTGTGTTCGTAAACATAGATTTGACTTCTTTTATTTTTTTTTTTTTAGTTTGAACGAGATTAGTACCTATTATTTATTAGACGTAGATGAAAACTATAATGTACTAATATATCATTTTAGTTAGTTCTCTAAAACTAGATTTCAAATGAGAAAGAAATAAGATTTATTTTATTTTTATTCTTTGGACGTTGGGAGTTAAAAACGTCAAACCAGAAGAGTGTAGTTTTTTGGGGGTTTTATAGAGGAGAAACACTAAAATTATTTTGCACTTACAGCGGATCAGAAATGTGTAACCACACCGTTGCATACCATAAACCAGGAAGTATAAACAATAAACATAATTATTGATAATAAGGACATATTATATATATATACTAGATAGACATATTATAGTCGTTCGGGTACAAATATAATGTATACTACTGTTGACATGTAGGTATAAGACACACATAATGTTAAATTCGATTAAAAAATAATTCAATTCAATTCAATATTAATTTTATGAGTAGGTACATGTGTCAAGATTTATATCAAAGTCTAAAGGAAAATTCGGAGTTAATCGCAGTAAAATGTCACTTGCTGCATATAATAATTTTTTAGGTAATATTTAATGATAAGATAAATGTCTGTATTTAATATAAAAAAAACATATTGCATACGAGTCTGCAATGAAGTACCACAATGTATGTCTTTGGCGTCCTTGCAATCATATGTAGCACATACTTAGGTAATATTTATAGGGTATAGTTGATAAAAAATAAAGACACGACTGCTATTGGTTTCCATGGAGATTTTTTTCGTAGCGGTTTCGTAACGCCAAAGCAAAGACATAAAACGTCAAAAGCAAGTAGAAGTTATTAATACATAGTAATTTACATTATATGCTTTAATAATAATAATATGAGTAAAAAGCACACGATAATATTGGTAAAAAAATTGGACTTTCACCAACACTGGTTGTTTGACACTTTGTCTTAAGATTTACCAAATTTCGTTCGTAAGAGTCCGAACTACAAAAATCATTCGTGGTTTGACCAAATTATTTTATGTATTCTATAGGTTCTACCGACAACAGTCGGCGATCGTCTTTATATAAAACTTTTAATTAGTAAATCGTATTAATAAGTATCGGAACAATTGATAATTTCTCCCTCGTCAAAATGTCAAAAAGTAAAAGAAATTCTAAATACCTAATGCATTCCAATTTGTTTATGTTTTAAATCTCATTGCCTGCTTATTACATATTATATTTTGTATGATATACTAAGTATGCTGTCTGCTATAAAAGTATAACCTTTAACTATAGGTCTGGTAATGATTAGAAATTGAATGCAAACATTTTGGCATCAACAACTGGTAAACTGAAATGATGCAACTGTAGGCAGACGATAGCAAATTATAAATGCAAAATCAATGATTTCGCCTACTCATTGCGCGGGATTAGTATATTGTGTGTACCGTGTACGCGACAACCGATTTTAAACTGCTACGTCTTTATAATTATAATAAATTATATTAAAATTAAAATTATAAAATTATAAAATTAAAATAATAAATATTTTTTTATTTTAGTAATATGTATTTTATTATCTTAAATGTTTGAATTGTACTTTCTGTGTTTTTTTTTGGATACAAATAATACAAATATGGACAACCCTGCTGTGCACAGTAATTGTCGAGTATTTTATTGTAATGGACGCGTTATATTTGAATTCAATAATAAATCATTGCGTACGAAAAGGATTCTAAACGGAGACGTTGTGTCCTGATTCTATAAATAAAACTTGTATAAATAACCAAATTTAATAATTAAAAAAATAATTAATCGAAAATATCTCATGGCTATAAATAGCGTAACTTTCCAGTAATTTTTTTTTTATGTTAAAGGTAGACACATTTGTGGGGAATCTTCTATATTTTTTTAATGTTAGCTAAAAAAAGTTTTATGAACTGAAAAATAATTTGCAAATTTTAGACCTCTCAAGGTCAAAAAGATGCTGATGACGAAAATCGGAGCATTTTTAATATCACAAATGTTGATGATAGACAGACAAAATTAATACACATCATTGTAAATACAACAAATTCATCAACGCTCGGAATCTAAAAATTAAAATGTTCGTAATTATTTTTTACGCACTTTACAATGTATGTTTCTCCGTTTTCCGTGACGGACATTTTGCGTAAATACTTGTAGATTGATACATAAGGTTCCTTAATGCACCTATTATTGTACAGCGTAAGTAGATACCGACGTAGATTTATAGGAAGTTTCTAAATCTTATTAACTATACGAAGACAAATTTAAAAACCAATACAGGAAAACCATGGAAACATAAATTGAGTGGGTACATATACTATTATTATTATTATCCATAATAAGCAGAGTTGCATTTTTTGCACGCGGTGGCAAATAATGAAAATTCAAAATATTATGAAAATGTAAAATTGTGGACTTCAGCGTGAAGTGCAAACCCAGATTGAGGATCAATTGGGCCCAGGTAAAACAAACATTTAGTGGGTCTCTATCAACTTTACCTTTAAAAAAATTACATAATTCATTTTTACGACTTATATCTGTATCTATATTATTACATAAAATTCTTTGTACGTATGTTTGTTCGGATTCAACTCAAAATCTATAAATCGGATTTTGATGATTTTTTTTAAATACGCCTCATGACTCCAGAAGTGATATAGGCTAGTATGTTTTGTTAAGATTTTTTAATATATTTATTTACTTTTTAATAAATGTACATACTTAAGTAGTTGCGCATAATTGCAAGGGGTATTTCGGGTATTAAAGTGTTAAAATGTTGTTACTATTGCTTATAGAAGAAATATAAATATATTTAATGGAAATTGGTATTTTTTTTTTTGTTTATTGGTTGCCAGTGGTTAATCGAGCAGATATAAGCATGCATCAAATTGAATGTTTGCACATTGCCTACCAAGGTGGCTAAGTTGCACTTGAACCGCTCATCGTTGAGAAAAATGAAAAAAAAAAATGTAATGTATTATTTAGAGTAAGGATTAAGCGGGTCCGCAATCCACCACAAGTGAATTGTCTACCTGATAATATAATACTTGCATTGCATTACCTCAAGCGAGTCTCATATATAGAGTTGGCATTTTTAACGGGCAACGAAGTGCACGGGATCAGCTGGTAATTGCATAATTGTGTACTTTAATTATGGTAGGTACCCCATGCGATTACATCAAAAATACCCAATACCAATTATTACCACCTGGGTACAATAAAAGATAGTAAAAACTATCATCTATGCCGGATTATGCGTATCATAGGCATGTAATTATTCATTTATGTTATGAAGTTCACAACTCCCATTTTATATACTTCATCATATTGTTATCAATTATAAGAATATCAATTTAATATTAATTAATATTATTTGGTAATTGTTTGTGATATAAAATGAAAAACATTTTTATTTTATAATTAATTTATAATTATTTATAGTAATTTTATTTATTTTAAAATTGTTTTGAAAGCATTAAAACAAAAATATTTCAGGGATAATGATGAGCCCCCAAAATCAATAGGCTCCGGGTCCTCGGTCTCGGCCAACTTTAATTCGGGTTTGGTGGAGTGGGGCTAATTTGTTTAATCTAACATTACCACATCAAAGGTTATTAATGGTTATTGACTACTCATTAAATATTAAATTCGACTGATACTGCTGACATTGGATGAGTCTGAAAAAGATAAATATGACAAAATATGGCAATTAATCATTCCATAGGTTTTTTTGTTGATAATTAAAGTATGAATATAGTATAATACCTTTGAATGGTCTAATTAATTTTACTTTTGATATCGATATATTAATGTATAGGTATATAGGTACTACTAATAATAAAGTAAAATAAAATAAAATATTTTATTTTACCATTGATTTATATTAATATATTAAATTACCATGTTCTGGGCTAAAATAGTTATCAGACATAATTTACACACCGCAATAACTTGTGTACATAATGTTCTTGGATGGTGTATTTATAGATGTATCTGATTCTTATGTGTAGTACTAAGTGTCAATAGTAGAGGTTTTTAAATTTATTAGTATACATTTCTTTATATTTAATATTGTACTCTGTTTCCTTCTATGATTAGTGAGTTATTATTATTAGTTATTATTCAATTGGGAATAATAATATTTTGCTAAGCCAATAAAATATTCTTGTACATTTTTTCAATTTATTTCTGAACGGATGTATTTGAATATGTATTTAAAATCTAAAAATAATTGTAAAATAACTGAAATTTATTATAACAAATTTCGCTAAGGCTACTGCGCTTCTAATTTCC